TACTTTAAAAATCAGAAGAAAATTAAGAACAAATAGTGGTGTACGCTTGTCTCCATAGTGAAGGACTGCTCGGCAGCTGCCCCTGGCCCCGTACTGTCCGCGGCACTGACCCCGGCTTGGACCGCGGCTCTGCCCCTGGCTTTCCCCCTGGCTCTGCCGCTGGCTCTGCCCCTGGTTCTGCCGCGCGCCTGCCTTGTGCCTTGTGACCAGGCTCACATCGTCGGTGGCCTGCCCTGGCAAACGACGAAAAGAGAAAGACTCTCGGTTCGACTCATGCATAGGGCCGTCGTCTGCTTTATTTCCATTTTTTGGGCGCCATTTCTATTCTGTCTCAGGAATGTCTCCAAACCACCTATAGGAAATTTTCGATTCTGTCTCAGTAACCTCACCAAAACAAAATGTTTTCGAGACTTTTTCGAGAAACCTGTTTAATAGCTCACAATTTTCTCGACGCGGGCTTGTCAAAGTCTATTGTGGCTCGTGACCTGTCTCAATACAGTCTCAAGAAATTCTCCACCGCATCTCAAAAGCGTCTTTAAATTATCTCGGCTCGAGACAGTCATCAAGATCTATATATTTCAATATTTTAATATCCAGTCAACACTGAAAGTTGTCACATAGTTTTAAGCACTTGCATCTGCAGGCCAGTTGAACTCTTTAATTATCAGTGTGTAAAAAATAATGTACTCGATTTTACAATGTTGGTCGGTGTTGTCGAATTTGTTAAGAACGTTGATTCTGTAATTCTGAGTCACAGACTGTCTGATCGGTGCACATGGATCTCAAACCAAGTGCACCACTCTAAAACAAACACACGAGTCCGTGTTTTTCTCGGCATTTTCTCAACACATTGTGGTGTTTATCTAGGTTAGACGTCAATTAGTGTTTAAACTTTCGACACTTCCGAAAAGTATAGCAGCTGCACACTACATGGTTCCTATAAATCTGCGTGTGTGTCCAAGTGTGCAGAATCTAAACGTTTACAAAACGTTCTAAATGCACAAAACGCAAATGTGCAACTTGCGCTAAACACCAAGTAAAATCATAACCTGCACACGTTGGTGTTTAAATTGTGCACACTTGTTTTACCAGTGTTGTTGTTCTTGGAGATCGGCTGGAAAGTTTGTCCGCCCGGGGCATTGTCCGATAGGTCGCGTCGGCGCCTGCGAGACTCAGGGTAGGCCATCCCGCGGCACACGCATGCACAGCTGGCAAGATGTTGCCTACCTCCTAGGCGCTCTGAGACCTTAAGCGTTTTCGTAGCAGAAAATTAATGACGGACGCAGCTATTGATATTTTCTCGTCGGCATTAAGGGAAAGGCTATAGTAAAAAATATCATTTTGGATAATAATGACCCTTAAGGCATTTAATAAAGAAACAGACTCATGCTTAGACCTACCACCCATTCACATTTGTGTATGTGTATGCCACTCTATTTGGACATTTTTATTAAACGCTCTTAAATCTTAATGCGCACTCGGTTTTGAGTTACGTGCCAGATATTTATATACCCCGCAACAGTTCTGGTGGAGCAAACTTTAATTTCCTTCCCCCTTTAATTTATTTATAATAATAATGACTAAATTTGGGCCATTTTTAATGTTTTAAAATATTGTAAAGATATGTCTACATCGAAAAATAAAATAAAACACAAATTTAAAAATGTAAACGCGTCATATAACACACTTTCCAGTGTGTGCCACGCATGTACACACTTCCTAGTGTGTACCATGCCAGAGGCACACACTTCCGCCTGTGTGCTTCCAAGTGCACCCCAGGAAGAGTATACTCTGTACACATTTGGGTTTACATACTGAAAGAACTTTCAGGGGTTTGTTGATTGATCTTATTTTTTAGTCTTTTCTGTCCCAGCCACGTGAAAGATTATCGTTTTGATAAAATTTTGCCGTTTTAGCTTTCAATACTGTGAAAACCCAAGTGTGTGCTTGAATGCAGTACCTCCTGCATATCTCCATGTATGCATGAGGTACTGTGTACTTGGCAAGTAAACAGGAGGTAGTGTGTACTTGATCAAGTACAAACTTAACCTCAATACATTTATGGAGAAGATTTAGTGTGGACTACGTCAAGTACACACTACCTCCTGCATGCTTGATCAAGTACAGGAGGTATTCTGGAGGTACTGCATTCAAGTCCACACTTCGGTTTCCAGAGTATTGTCGATAAACGTTCAAGGTTTTTTAGTGTTTGTTGAGAGAGTATGACTTTTCTACTACTTTGCGCTTTCTATTGGCTGCTGCCCGAGAAATGCCGAGTCGAGAGAGCATCGATGCACTTTTAGAGAGTCGCTGGCCAGCCTGGCCTGGGTTTGCCCGCATCGAGTCGAGTGGTCCCATAAAGGCGATGGCGGATAACTTGGTAGGGATTGGAGTGGCCTTTAGGGACGCCCGGAGACAGCAAAAAACTGTCAGAGGCATGAATGTCGTGTCGTGAGTTGGCTACAAAAATAGAGCACATTAAAGGTCTTTGCACATATTTTTTTTTATTTTGGCTTTTGAAAACAATATAATAATCTGAAGGACACGGGGATAAACGGACGAAAGTAAGATCTGGTAGCTGGTAGCCTTCAGAGGGGATACGGGGCACTCGTTTTGAGGCTGTGAGTCGACATTGAATATGTACATCTTGCCGTTAGCTGTCTCTGTGTGGATCACATCCAATAATGAAGACAGTTATAACACGACTATTCAAGACTCAGTAAACATTTTAATATCTCGTACAATATGCTATAGATATCAGTAGGAATTGATATTAAATCGCGACTCAACGCGTTATTTCGCCTTTAACAAATCTTATAATTTGCCAAAGGCATATTGAGCAGGGAGAACCACAAAAGACCGCCTGATAAATCTCAGTCAAAAATGGTCCAAATTCCAAAAGAATAACCGACTTTAACAATTTCTAAACTCTTGCCAGCAAGAAATCACGTATGCAACGATGAGTGCGTTTTAGACTGGGGCCTTCAAAAAAAAGACTGGTCTTATCCTTAGCGACTCCGATCGCCTCAGAGAACGAGCAGTAAAACATTACACGTCCACGTCCACCCGCGGTATTAGAATATATTTAATAGAAAAAAAAACAGAACATCTTTAAAAAAAGAAAGGAAAATGGGCCGCACGTTGCTCTAACGCAATCTCAAACGCGGGGAGAAAAATTGCCCGCAGGAACTCAGTTGACAAGAAAATGACGCACTGCTTATGGAGGAGGTTACAATAAATTTAAGTCCAATATTATTGTGATTTGTGTGCAATCTTTTTCCTTTTGGGTGACCCACATGATCTCCCACGATAACTCGAATGAGCTCGCAGCGATCAGAAAGGACAGTTATGAGCGGGGTTTGATTTACAACACGACGGCTGCATCTGCCAGCTTTCACGATATTTCTGCCGATTTGCTATTTGCTCTGTCAACGCAAAAAAATTCGCATGAACAGTTTGTTCTCTGGGGACAACACAAGGCTGTGGGGTCAGGACGAGATTTCGGCCGTAAAAGACTTATAATACTTGTGAACACAATGTTTTACGTACTATGCTCTGAATCACATTATGCATTTGCGCTGATGCACATTTTTATATACACTTCACACATTTACTTGTGTGGCACCCCGATTTGGAGTCATAATATAAACTTTCTATTTACAACATATAACGTTTCTTTCTTATGTACACTATTATCAACACGTTTGATGTGGCTCTTCAACAGTCCAACCACGATTTGGAAAAAAACAAAAAACAGGACAATTAGTCCACGAACATCCCGTGAACTGTCGACTTTTGTTTGTCAGTGACAAACAGTGAGAGAAGCGCGGTCAGCACGCAGCGCGCACCACAGCGAACCAGAAGGCCACGGTGAGCGCGCTGCTGGAGCGGCTGGCCCCCCGCCCGATCCCTGGGCCGGGCCGAGGCGTCGATGCCGACGTTGGGCGAGAGCGTGTCGACGAGTAGAAGGACGCCGTGCGATTGGTGGGAACGGTCTCGTTGCAGTAGGACTCGTCACAGCAGGACGCGCAGACCTGAAACACGACAAAAATATAGACCGTTAGTCGCAATGGGTAACCGTGGGAAATAAAGTGCCTTTCAATTAATTCCTCGGCGATGGCACTGTTAAACTGAATCGTTACGTGACGAAAAATATTGTGACGAATAGTTTGTCACAAGAGTTGAGATGAACCAACCGTCACATTGTGACGAACCATTTGTCACTTGTGATGACCAATTCGTCAATCGAGATAAATGAAACTATCGTGACGTGACAAAATAACTGTCACAAACTTGGAAGCAAATAAGCGCTCATGGCGAGGCTCCGGCTGCCACACACCGAAGGAAACAGGTTCTATTCCCAATGTAGTACAAAATTTAAATTTCCAAACGTTTTCTAATTATGTGACGACATATTTTCCAAGCTTTTATGATTGGGTTGTCACGTGACACGAAACAATCATCTCGCCCCTCGTGATGAACCATTCATTAGTAAAATTAAGGTGTGACTTTTCCGTAGGACAACTCCATATTTTCCAGTGGGCACCGAATCGTCAGGTTGGCGGGTCAGTCGGCCCGACGAGTTGGGCTGGGTTTGTTGGGCCTCCAACATGACGATCCCGTGCCGGGGATGCGTGGCGCACCTGATTATACCCAGCGGGCCGCAACACCCGCCGCCGCGCCGTTCGCTTCAATCCGTCGCCGGCAAACTTTGAGCCGGCCGCGAAAAGCGTGCGGGCCTGCGGGCTAAAACTCGGTTTCCAGCCGGGGAGCAGAGGAGCCGAGTGCACGGGAGCACCCCCCCCCCTCCCCTCTCTCTCTCTCCTCGCGAGTTTATTGCGCTTTCCGCATCAGTCTGCACCCCGTTCAAGCGGCAGGGCAGGCGCGGGGCGGGGCGGGGCGGGGCAGGTTGGCGGGGGAGGCACCAGGGAAAGCTATTTCCGGAGCGCAATCCAGTTTGCTGGCTGGGCCGTGTGTCTGTGGTGGGACAGCGTGATGGTTGTGCCTCCACGCTCCGCACACGGTCCGGTGCACCCGAACGATACTTTGAGCGCACGCCTTTCCCCGCCCGCGCACTCCGCACCCCTCGTATTGCGTTTGAGTGTCGTTCACAAAGGACCCTAACAAGCCGTGCCCGCGCACTGCAGCGAGTGTTGCAGCGCGGCCGAGGAGCAAAGTAACGAGCCGAACCACTGGCGCAATAGTCTGTACAACTGTTCCGTAATAGCGCGTAATATCACCGTAGTAACGGGTACTCTCACGTCATTTTCGCCGGAACACGACAGTTACATGAAACGCAACGTTGCCTGAAGGACCCGAGGGGTCGACAACAGAGTTGAAAAGGCATGACACATGATAACATTTGACGTTGAGTTGACATTGTTCTACACTCTCATTTCCCTATGGATGTGCTATCCGTATGTTATAGAGAATTTTGTGCTACGTATTAAAGATCACAAAGTATCCATAATATGGATAAAATTGTCCGTATTACAGACAATTTGATCCATATTACAGACATGCCCTCCGTAAGGTAGGACCTTACGGATGTGGTCTTATGGTTAATCTGTGATCCATAATATGTTAGCACAAAATTCTCCGTAAGCGTGTCCATAAGGAAAGGAGAGTGTAAAAATTATTGTTTTGAAAGTTACGTGTTAGGCGGTACGCCGCAGCAGCGGATGATAAGTACCAACATCCACCCACGGGAGAGCGCGGCGGGAGTGCGGGGAGGAGTGGAGAGCGGAGGGGGGACTGCGCCGCCGCCCGACCGAGCAAGGGGGCGGCATACGTTGCAATAAAAATGACGACGGCGACGAGTACAATTTGA